CCCCCCCGCTCGGAAGACGCGGCCGGAGCTCCCTCTGCCGGTGCAACTCCGGGCCGCGACGGGAACCGGCCCCGACGGCGGGGACCTCGCCGCAAGCATCCCCCGGGGCTGGGGGGGGCGGGGAACGGGGATAGGACACGGTCCCGAGCCAGGGGCACGCCACGCTGGGTGCTCCCCGCCACGGCGCAAGCCAGGGACCTTCTTTCAGCAGGGCCAGAGGAAAGGATTTTCTGCAGGCATCGCTCATTTTGAGCACAGACATCCCCACAGGCTGAGCCAAGGCCCTGTTTTTAAAGGCTTAAGATTTCTTGCCACTTTAGAAACAGCTTTCTCACCTTTCTGCGGTAGCCTCCCACATCATATATATATATATGTATATGAGCATCCCCTTCCCAAGAGCTCCAGCTAGCTCAAAATCACCTGCAAGAGCAATAGGAAGATGCTCTTGTCTGACCCAAAATGCCTTCTCTGGGCTGAATCCTGCTGGCCTGGGAGCACACTTGATCTTGGATTCACAGCCTGTGCTGTCCAACCTGAGACAAATCACATGGCTGTTGGCAAAACTTCAAGGCCAGCCAGGCTCTGCTGCAGAACTGTGAGAGACCGTGCCCAGGCAGAGGAGAAGATACAAACCCCACAGCCCCACCACGCATGGCCAGGAGACCCTCCTGCAAGCCCAGGAGGACGCAAGTGTGACGGCACGTGGCGCACGTGACACCAGACGAGCGGAGAGCCCACCACACAGATGCTAAGGACAGCGACTCCCATTTCTTTCCCAGGTTTCTGAGTGATTTCCCCCCTCTGGATGCAGCATCTGTACTCATGGAGAGGGCAAAGCTCGGCTAGTTCTTCAGCCTCTCTCCACTCCTGCCAAAGCAAGCAGACATACCAACACGCCAGGAGCTCCCTCGCTTCCCCAGCAAAGGCTCCTGCGGTGGGAGACACCCCAGCCTTTGCTCCCCTGGCAGAGCACAGCCCAGTAGCCCGACAGCTCGGCTGTTGTACAAATGCAATTCACGGAAAGGTCCACAAACACATTTGCATGTGCAAGGTGCAGTCTTAGATCAAGCAATTTCCTCGCTACATATGTACAGCCTGGCCACAGCTGCTTTTGATCTGATTCTCTTTGTATCCTGATAATGTACAGAGAGCCTTTGTGTGTCGGTCTGTTTATTTAAATGGATTTGGAGCAAACATTTTTTTAAAAGCTGAAGCTTTGAGCCTCTAAGTGGGTTACCAGATTATATGCTGTCTCCATTTTAATTACATTTGGCTCGTTTTGTTTATTGCATACATTTTTGAGAATTATGCTCATCGTGAGAATTGAAAACATTTTGCTTTAGAAGATACCTGCCCTATAAAGGGATCCAACGTCACACAGGAGACGCGATGCAAACCTTCCCATCTCAAAGAGCACTCTCCCTCCAACTAAAACAGGGAAAGAAGAAAGGCTCAACAGAGCCCTATATCCTCTAAGTTTAAAATGAAGCACCTGAACATCAGGAGGATCAAGCCAGCACCACCAGTCTAGCAGGATTTTAGCATCAGCAAACACAGATAGGATGATGCTCTTGCTAGGGAAGAGTGATCTTGGTTGTGGATCTCAGAGGGATGAGAGCACGGAGCCTGTCACAGCCTGGCTGGGGTGTTTGTCATTCCCCGTCTCAGCTGGCAGCGGAGCAGAGGGAGCATCCAGAGCTTTGCTGTCTCACCTTGGGTGGGCAAAGTTAAACCAGGAGCACCCCAGCACTACCCCAGCCCAGGGCATCTCCCCAGGGAGCCTTTCCCACCTGCCTAGGGTAAACCAGGAATTTGTCCTCCTGAAACACATGGGGGGGTGGCTTTGGGATGGAAGTGGAGGGATCAGTCGAGGAGAGGGAACACAGCTCTGGCCTGGAGCCTTGGTGAGAAGGATGGAAAGCAGCAGAATGTAATCCCAGATACCAGAGCTGCACGTTTAGGGATTGGGGATGTAAATGAGAAGAAATTTTAATACAGTGTAAGAAACTAATGAGGTCACATTCACCTCCACGCACAGTCCTGGCCTCCTAATTATACCAAAGATAGCACAGGAGAGAGGGATGGGGGTGAGCCAGGGACAGCTGGGTGGCAGCAGGAATTTTAGGGCTGTGGTGGTTTTGGAGGGGTGAGAGGGAGGGGGGTCATGCACTGCAACATCAGTTACGCCTCCAACAGCAGATGCGATACCCCCTAAATTACTCAGCAGACCCCCAGCAGCGACAGGAGCTGTGCCACCCGAGGACGAGGAAGAAGAAGAGGAAGCAGCGCTGCTTTCATCCCAGCACAGCCCTCTTGCTCTCCTCTTCCCCCCTGCAGCAGAGCTGCCCCCCACCATTTCAGGACACTTTCAGGGGAGCACAACCCTGCACTCTCTTTCTTAGTGGTACTTCTAGGAAAAGCATCATGAGCAATGTTTCACGTCAGCGAGGAAGCTTTAGCCGAGCCGATGCTCACCAAAGACGGTTCTTGCGTGGTAATGGGATTTGGAGTCGGCTGTACAGGAGCTGCACTGAGCTGTAATGGGAAAAGCCTACATCTGTAACCATTTTAGCAGGAGGCGGATTGAAGACAGCCTCAACGGAGAGGCTCCAATCCGATGGGAACTAGTCGCTATTTGTTTTGCTGTTGACATACAGCTGCAGTAGCTGTGGGTGATTTTAATAAGATGGGATAATATTTCTATCAGTTCTGGGAGCTATAGATTGAACCCATATAGGCATCTGGCTTAGGGCTGAGTGATAAATCGCAACAAGATCCAAAGCTCTTCTCATGCCTTGGAACGGGAGAGAAAACACATATTTCATTTCGGATGTCACAGTTTGAGGGCAGAGCAGGCCTCCCACGACCAATTTACAGACTCGAGCGTTGTTGAAGAGCACTTTGATGGCACCAGGCCCACTCTATCCCTGCTCCCCCACCCCACCAGTGACACTCAGTGTCGTGGGGCCAGAGCCCTTGCCATGCATGGGGGCTCCTGGCTGCCCCCATCAGTGAATTAACCTCCCGAGAAACGCCGTTCACTGTATTTCAGCCGACACAGCTATAGCAGAGACACCAGAGACCCCCCTGCTTCCCTCTGCTCCTGCCTCTTCCCACCAAACCCAGCCCCACGCAGCCCTTGCTCCCTCTCCAGTGTCCCCCCTGTTCCCCCCAGCCTTAGCACAGCCCCCCAGGCTGCTCCCATCCTTCAGTGCCCACAGCTGGAAGAGCCCCAGACTAATGATTTTAGCAATTTGCTTCTTAGGACAGCAGCTAACGACCTGGGAGGAGCAGGAGACCAGCCTCAGGTTCGACACAGCACAAGATAATGGCTTAACCCTGCATAACCCCGTCCAAACAGCTGCTTTTCTCCAAGAGCTTATTTTGCTAATTCCCTTTCTCATCACCCAGGCAGTTTCTTGCCCTCCTCAGTTATCCCGTTGGTGCCACAGCCATGGCCTTCACCCCGAGCATCTCAGGACTTCCCAGTCTGGTGCTGCATCCCCAAATCCCAGGGCTGGGTACTGGCACTGGGAGCCACTGTGGAGGGTTTGGGAGAAGCAATTGCTTAATGAAACCAACTGCTAGAGGCTACAAGCAGGGCTTCATCTTTTATTTTTTTCCTCTTTAATGAATGTTTTTATTGTCTCTCTCAATCTTTATTAAGTGAAGAGCCAGACAAGTAGTTGGAGGGAAAATATACTACGGCACGAAGCACAACCACTGTGCAGAGGGGATGTACGCGACCAGCACAAGCCGTTTGGTGTGCAGAAAGGAATTAATAATTTAGGCTGGGGAATGCTTATTTTTGGCTGATGACCAGCACCTTCCTACATGATCAATGTTTGCACCTTGACTTTTTGGTACACAATCAATCCATGCCTGAGTACAGCCCAAGTTTTGGGAACTGCTACATCTGCAAGGGCTGAGCCGCCCGGGGCTGTAGCACCAGTGCAGCTGATCCTCCTGACTTGGCAAGAGCTGAGCCCATGTTTCAGCTCTGGGGCTCAGAATACAATTTATAGTAAAAATGTAATTTATAATAAAAATCTGTCTGCTCTCCCATCCTTAAAAAAATTTCTTTTTCCTTAACAACTGCTAT